AATTAATTTTTCAGTATTACAATTATTTTAATTTAGCAACACTGCAATTTCAAACCTACTTGCTACTTACAAGTATTTAATAAAAAAAACCACCTCAACCTAATGTTGTCTAGCAAGTGAGCCATTCCATGTATTACCATGGTATTTACACATCATCATGACTATAAGCCATGAGTCACAGGTGTTAATACATTTATAAAGCTGCAGAACAGCAGCACTGGAATAATGGGAAATTAATATAGCTTTATTGTGTTTAATATTCATTTGCATTGAAAAGAAAATGAATGATTAAATGATAGTACATCTCAGTTTTGGTTTTAGAAAGCCACTGTGTCCCTTATACCCACAAATTACCAGATGTAGCCTCTGAAGAGACTGAACCAGTTCAGTACATAAGGTTTGGGCAGGCACTGGGGAGGAAAGAAACTCCTCTTCTCTTTACATTTTTCATTGGCATGTAAATAAGAAGAGATAACCAAATCATATGTTACTATGTTACAACAGCAGATAAAACCCAAAAAACTGTTCTATCCACAACAACAAAATGATATTTAGTGTTTGATGCCCACTTGATATTTTTAGATTTTCAAGACCTGAAAGTCTGTCAATAAGTTTGCTATGAAAGTCAAAGTTCAACAGATCATAAATTTGGGAGAAAAGTCCAATTTTTAGAAGAATACAGAAAACACTACTATTTACAAATACAAATAATAATTCAGGATGGAGGTTCAATAATTTACTATTCAGTGTTCTCAAAACAGGACTCGTATGTTCAGGGATAAGTTTCTAGAAATTAAAAATAAATAAATAAAATAGGGTATGCTAGTTACAAATTGTTTTTGCCTTTCTCACCTTCATATTTTCTTATATATGATCAGGAGGCCCTGAAATGACAATTTTTTTCCAATGTACTAACCACCTACCTTTCTTCATTTAAATTCCTCTGGAAATCCCATTTCTTCTTTTCAGCCCACAAATGCTAAACTACATTAATATAATGCTATTACCATTCACCCCCATTTGTTTATGAGCAAGAAAGCTCTAAGTTATCAGCACACTCTGGTCTCACAGTGTGTGCTGTCCTTTATTAAGATTGTGAGCTCCTTTGGGTAAGGACTGTGCTTTATTTGTGCTGTATATGGCATATACATAATACATATTGTTTAAAAATTAATGGTCCATAAACCATAATGTTACCTTTTGGGTAGCTAGACATATGATAAATGCAGGATGGTTTAACCTGCTCCGATTACTTGGCTTCTGTTAGAAATCAGATCCAATGCAGTCAGAGCAGTGTTGTGTGATATACAAAAACACCACACCCCACAGGTTCAGGAATCTTCTGCCCACCAGTGATTGATCTCAGGTGAATTGCAAGTCATGGACTGAGGCTTAGGATACTGGGAGAACAGTGTCCATTTGCCCTGTTAGCCAGAGAAAGAGCACTATGTTAGTAGCCCTCAGAAGAAGAATAGAAATTAAAGGTGGAAAAAATGACCTAATCCACCTCAATCAGTATAAATTATTCCCTACACTCTCTCTCCCAGTGCTTTGCCCAATCTAGTTTTAAATTGCTCAAGGTAAAGGTCCTCTATTTCCTTTGAAAAACTTCTCCATAGTCAAACATTCTCCAACTACCATCTACGTATACTGTAACTTCCATTAAGTGCAAAACATGCCTTCTGCATTTTGTTTAGAGCCAAGGATACTGTCAGCATTTAAATAGGAAATAAATTGAACAACTACTGGTTCTTATTAATTAATGTCTAAAGTGGCAAATTTAGACTTGTTGACTCCGTTTGCACAACGAAGAACTGTTACTACCAGGGAGTGCATGTTTTTAAATGGTCACCTTAAAATAAAGGGAAGCTGAACAAAGAGTGGCAGCAGCAGCTGGAATCATGTCCCTATGTCCAAACAAAGTTTATTCATAAGACTGAAGGAGATCATGGCACAGCTGCAAGGGAAATACTTATAAGTCAACAAGCACTTCAGAGCAGAAGAATGGGAAACATAACCAAAGGACTGAGAACTCTCTGTAGAGTTAGAAAAAAATCTTAACGTCAACAAGTCATATTTCAGAAAACTGAGACTGAATCATCTCATATAATTTTTAATGATTACAGATGTTTATTGTAACTTCTGTTATTTATTACCATACTGGATAATACAACATCTCTCTCTCTTTCTCTCTCTCTGCTCCTAAACAAACAACTTTAAATGTGACTAGATTTTTCTAATCTAGAACACATTTTCTTTTAAAGCATTAACAGTGGAAAATTGACTGGTACTTTTGATGAGGTGTGGTAGCCGGTTACACCCCAGCCCTTAAAAAGAGCATATATCATAAGTAGTCTGTACTTTCCTTAGTTCAGGAGCTATATCCTCCATTGTCTTCCTTCAACATGATTTTAAATTGGGCAATGTTAGGCACTTATATGTCCCTCATAACCACAGTACCAGAGCACCACACAATCTTTAATGCATTTATTCCCACAAACATACTTGTGTGTTAGGGAAGTACTATTATCCCCCTTTTGCAGATGGGGAATGAGGAAGAGAGAGACTAAGGCCTAGACCCACAAAAGGGACTTAGCTTTGCCATATTGAGCATCACAACACCTAACTTTCATGTGCCTAGAAAAAACACAGGAACACCACTACAATCCACAAAGCCTGAGTTAGGCACCTACACTCCCTATACCATGAACAGAGAGAAATAGGCACCTTAGAATGTCATCCACAAAGCCAGCATGATAGGGAGCTGCCTAAGTTAGCCAATGGGAAATCATAACAACTAGGGTGTGTACTAAGCCCTGCTCCTCTTCCAGAGGTAGGTCCTGAAGTCTGGGCTGCAGGAAGACACCTATCTCTGCTTGTGATTCACAAATCAGGGAAAGACAGGCATTTGCCTGCCTAAATCATGTGCAGGGCCAGATCCAATAGGCACATTCCCCACAAAATGGCTGGGGTGTGAGGGGGAGGGGAAGAAGGGAAAGGAGAAAGATGTCCCTTAAACCTTGTGGTCACGATACTCCCCTAAGATGTGGGAGAGTCCTAGTTTTCAAGTCCTCTCTCTGCCTGATGAGAAGAGATTGAACAGGGATCTGCCACCTCTCAGGTGAGTGGTCTAACCACCAGGCTACAGAGTCATGCTAATTTTTTCTCTCACCCAAATAATATTTAATTATCCAATCATTTAATTAAAGCAGAACTACTTACATAGGAGACATTGAGGGAGCCCCACATCAGAATATCCCATAAGCAATGGGTAAAGCACTCACTTGAGAGATGGCTCTATTCAAATCCCTTCTCCTCATCAGACACCAAGTTCCGGGAGTCCCCAGGTGAATACCCTGGCCCCGAGGCTAAAGGTTATAAGGGAGGTCTGCCTCTGGCTTCCCACCCTTCACCTCCCTGGCTGTTTTCTGTGGAGTTAGGTGGCCTCTGACAACCAGCTTTCTCCTGGTTCGTGAACTGCTCTGGGGCTCAAGTAGGAGATAGGTGCCTGTGGTCTAGGGTGAGATAGCAGTGCACATGCTCAGAGGTAGAAACATAAGCACTGAGGGAACTTTTACAGCAAAAACTTAAGCACTAAGCAAGGCGCCTATGGGTTCAATGGCAGCTAAGCAGGAGTTTTGTGGATAACAGAGGTGCCTAAAAACAGGAGTCAGGTACTTAAGTACTTTTGTGGATCCCACCTAAGTGACTTGCCCAAGGTAACATAGGATGTCCATGACAGAACAAGACTTCCATCCAGGTCTTCAGTGGCCTGAGTAGTGCTCTAACCATTGGACTGTCTTTCCACAGGAACTTAAGGAGTTTAGTTCCTTGGATTAACGTAGGTGTTGCTACACTGTTTCTGACCACAGGTTATCTAAGATGGGGACATAACCATCTTCTGAAAGTTTTGCTCATGTTGTCTCCTGATGCAGGTCATGTGGTGCTTTGCCATGGAATCCACATTCCTTGGGAGTCTTTTGTGCTAGTAGTATGTCTAAGTAGATCCACAGGAGAATTTACAAGGGGCTACACTTTGAGGAACAGGCTACTATACTTATGTTCTATTATGGGTTTCTGGTGTTGGAATTTGAATATGATAGTATACTTTGGTTAAGAGTGACTGACATAATAAATATATTAATAGGAAAAAATGTAGCATATAACCACATGTTCTGTATTTCTCTCACACAGTGACAGAAATTCTGCAGTGGAAGAGCAAGGGAGGTGTAAATCAAATCCACATATGTAAGTAAACGCAAGCCAGGATTCTGCAGTGGGAATTCAAAAAAGGCAGGCAGGTTTAAGTCTTGGATGTAGTGGACTAAATTTTTACCTCAGTTACACTGGTGAGACTCCGGAAAGTCAATTCTGCCATTGGTTGTCCCCCAACGATTTCAGTATCAGTTGGATGTAAAAGAGCAAAATTTGTCACCTGCTAAATGTTATGTAACTACATACAGTGATCTCCATTAAAAAGTCAGCTTACATCAATAGATGTCACATATAGGAGATAATATAGTAAATGTTGATTTTTGCTCCCCCCCCCCGATAGTTATTACATAATTTTACACATTTGCAAATTGATTGGTAATTAAAATACATCTCCAAACTAATTATTTGTATTCTCACCAAGTAGGACATGCTGTGTAAATAAAAAGCTGCCAGTTACCATGGAAGTAAGGAATACAACCATGTTAGCGCCCTGTAACTTGAAGCTTTATCAAGTATTTTTGTCATGCTAGACACTGTAGGGTTAACATAAAATCGTATCTATATACACACACCCTAACACAACTGGCTGAGAACACTGAGAACATTTTATTATGTCTAATTAATATGAACCATATTGTTAAGTCCTTATTCTACCATAGCAGAAAATAGAGCTTTGTCTGTGAAAGAGCTAAGAACTTCAGAACCATGTGAGGACAGAAGCTATCTCAAGTATCATAGGTTGAAAACATTTAACCACAAAAAACTGCACAAATGAAGTGATTTACCTTTTCACCTTCTTCTCCTTTATTACCCTCAAAGCCACGTTCTCCCTGTTATGAAAAAAAAAAAATCACAAGATTGATTTACAGGAAATTTTAAGCAAATGTCATATACATAAAAAACAATCTACACAACTTCTATTGCATTTAATTGTATTTCAAGTTAAAAATAAGGCTTGACAAGACTACACAACTTGGATACTGAATATCTTTTCAGCACCTCAAAAGATCTGAAACTTATATGGAAAACTGGAATGGCTTTCTACGAGTTTGGCAGCTAACTCTGTTTATAGTCCAAGATACCAACCCTCTCATTGTTTTAAAATCAATGTTTAATTTATTTTATTTAAATTTATAAGTGTGACTTGCCAGGTGTCAAGGCGCTGTTCAATCATTGTGTATACAAAGCTTATTCAACCAAGAAGACCTCTCTATGAAAAACATACAGAATGATTTGAGCTTTGCAGCATATGCTGAAGGTTACTATATCCCAAGCTCAGATGGATCCAAAGGGAAGTAGATTTCTGATTTGAGTATCCTTCACCAAAAAAGACCGTTACCATTTTCCTTCCATTTAAATTATGGAATTCTTAGATCAAGCGCTGTACCTGAACATAAAAGTTCTGGTCTCTAATGTAGTCAAGATGCAAACTAACAAAACTAACATCTTTAATTTACCCAGATATGTGACGAGTTCCCTCTGGGGTACCGCCTAGAACTGGGGTGTGATGGGTTTGGGCCCTTTGGGGTGTCACCTTATGTGCTGGGATGCCACTGAGTCAGCCTATTCTGCCATCCTGGGTCCCCTTTACCTGGCCTTGTTGGGTTAGGCTCACAAGCCTCTTCCAGCCAAGCACACAGGCAGGGCCACACCCAGCAGAACAGAGAGACAGAGATCGACTCTGGAAAGATTCAGCCTTCGGGGCTCACCCCAACACTTTGTACTCCTTAAAGGGAGTGGGCACCAAACCCAAAGGTTTTATGAAATTCGCCCCCTCCCTCAATGTGGAAAGAGATATGCACAACTCCTCCCCCCCCCCATTAGAAATTACCTAAACTGGGTTATATTATAAACAAGAAATAAGTTTATTAACTACAAGAGGTGAATTTTAAGTGAATATAAGAGATAACAGACAGAACAAAGAAGATTACTGACCAAATAAAGCAAAATACACAAGCTAAGCTCAATATACGTAAGAAACAAGCTACAAAATGTAAATTCTCACCCTAAATTTTATTTTAGGCAGGTTGCAAAGTTTCTGTGGTTCAGAGTTCCAGTTATATTCCTTTTGAGACTGGACTCCTGTCTCAATCTAGACTCCCTCCTTGCCTTCCCTTCAGGTGGCTTTAACAGTCTTTTTTCTCGGGCAGACAGGCCATGGAGAGGAGGGGTCCTACTTGCCTTCCTCCCCACCCTTAAATAGGATTTACATAAGGTCAGAATCCTTTGTTTCCAAACTTGACACACACACCGCTGTGAAAAGTTACAAGCAGTCCCACCTGACTCTGTAATACAGGAATCGGCAACTTTTGGCCCGTGGCCCACCAGGGTAAGCCCCCTGGCGGGCCAGGCTGGTTTGTTTACCTGCCGTGTCCACAGGTTCGGCCGATCGTGGCTCCCAATGGCGGTGGTTTGCTGCTCCAGGCTCCAGGGGGTGGCGGGAAGTGGCGGCCAGCACATCCCTATACCCAGGCCACTTCCCGCAGCCCCCATTGGCCTGGAACGGCGAACCGCGGCCAGTGGGAGCTGCGATCGGCCGAACCTGCAGATGCGGCAGGTAAACAAACTGGCCTGGCCTGCCAGGGTGCTTACCCTGGCAAACGGCGTGTCAAAGGTTGCTGATCCCCTGCTGTAGTATCACAGCATCCATGAGTCAGTGGCAATATGGAGCGTCTGCAGGAAGGCCAAGCCTTTTCATAATCCATTGTCCTTGCTGATGGGCCATCAGCCCTGTCTGGCTTTTTCATTGTTGTACCTGAAGTGTTAGCAGTGGGCGTCACCCAAAGTAGCATATTGAAATACAGATGCATAGTAAATATTCCTAACTTCAGATATAGAAATGATACAGGCATACAAACAGGATAATCACATTCAGTAAATTATAAATTATATATCACTTTCAGTAAATTATAACCTTTCCAATGATATCTTACAAGACCTATCTTGCATAAAGTACATCTCGGTTATGTCATACTTATATCATAAGGATATTTTCAAAAAAGATATGCAGTGAAATGTCATATGGGCTCCCATTGAGCACCCTGACCCACTAGCCTGGGCTCCCACTCACCCTGTAATGCTGTGACAAGCTGCAGACACGTTCCTGGTCTCTCACTTTCCCCAGCACACAGGTAGAGATACACCCAGCTGTAATAACATGCAGACTGGCTTTCTGACTAGCCTCTGCATGGGAAGGCTATACAGCTAGGGCACTTACCAGCTTCTCAGGCGCACACCACCTCTTTCAGACACACACCTCTGTGCTCTCTAGAGTGGGATCAATCCCCTGTTTAGCTGTGGCTCATAGCTAACAGCCAGAGCAGTCCTTTTACTGGTAGGCAATGTGCCCTCCCTCTTTGAATTGGGCTTGCCTTCAGCTGCAGAGTTCATGGAACCCTCACCCACCTCAGTGGTCTCTAGGATTCCACCCCCCACCTCTGGATTTCCCTCTAGGACATATTCCTATGCATTCTAGAGTGAGGTCTGTCCTTTGCTCAACATCAACCTGCTGGCAGCCAGCAACCTGGACAGTCTTCTCACTGACAGGCAATACACTCTCCTCCACCTTTGAGGAAAAGCTGCTTTTAGCCACCGGGCAGTAGGAGCTGGTCTCAACCACACCCACTCCTGGTAGCAGACTGTTTTCTACTGCTGAAGAGGAATTAAAGAAACACTCTCCCATTCCCCCAGCAGTTCCTGAGACTTCACCTTTCCCTCTGGGGTTTCAGCACAATATTGCTCCTTGCTGCTGACAGACCCCTTGACAGCCGGAGCTACATTGAAAAAGTCATTCCCAAGTAACAATTGTGTTGGGTTACCACGTACTACAGCCACAATTAATTCAGCTTCCAAATCCCCAGTTTCTATGTGCACTTTCGCCAATGGCACAAGGATTTTGTGACCTCCTACTAACAAAGTCTCTGCCATCTGCTCTGGCAGTATGTCTTTCTCCTGAACAAGGTCTCTTCTGACCACAGAAATGTCTGCACCTGTATCCCTCCACCCAAGTTGTTCCTTGCCATTAATTCTGACAGACTTTATATGTTTCCTGCCTGGCTGTGCAGAGGCTACTTTTACAAACACTGTCTGATAAGTGGCAATTGCCTGAGGTGCCTCTGTGCTCTGGGTAGCAGCATTCCCATGAGTTGCTTGCTGCCTGTTCCCACTCAGCACAGAGGATTTATTCCTAAGGTGCTCAGTGGAATTACAATAGCAGCACCTCCTGGGCTCTTCTGTTTTTACAGGGGACTTGGGGCGAGGACAAGAGGAATGGACTTGGGGAGATGAGCATCCAGCCTCCCATCCACCCACCCTTTCCCCAGGAGTAAAACAGAACCCTGTTTTCCTCCAAACTTAAAGCCCTCTGCCTGTGATTTATTTCTAATAGATACTTGGGTTTGTTCAAATTGATCAGCTAGAGTAGCATGTTCATCAACAGTCTTTACCTTTTTGTCCCATAAACACTGTTTTACATCATCATTACATACATTCAGGAAATGTTCCTGAGAAACAAGATCACACATTTCTTCAAAGCTTGTAATATCTTTTCTCCTTACCCACTTATCCATCAAATCTCTCATCTGGTTTACACATCACACATTTCTCATTCCAGCACCTTTCTTAAGGCTTCTAAATTTTACTCTATATGTTTCAGGTATAATCTGAAACGGTTTTAAAACCATTTCCTTGAATTTACCATAATCTGAAGCATCTCCAATTGGCATCTTATTGAATATATCCAGAGCTCTCCCAGACAACTTTGCAACCAAAGTGGGCATCTTTTGGTTTTCAGGAATCTCATGGAGTACACACAGCCTCTCAAAGGTGATGAAATATTCAGCAATGTCCCCCGTCTTGTAGCAGGACACAATTGTTCCCATTTGTGGATTTTTGGAGAGCTATGGGGGTGCTGGTTCCACTTCTTTATCAAATCCAGTTCATGCTTCCTCTCTTTTTCCCTCTCCTCCAGGCCTCCATTTCTTTGTCTTGCAGTTCCAGGGCTCTCTGGTGTGCAGCTTTTTGCTTGGCCTCTTCTGCTTCTGTGGTTCTCCAGTGTGCAGCTTCTTGTGCATTAATCTCAATTTGTTTTAATTCCATTTGTCTTCTGTCTCCTTCTCCCTCTCTTCTGCCTGCAATCTGCCATGCTCCAGATTCTTGCTCAGTTCACTTTCACTCATTTTCCTGTTTTTCTGTCCATACTTCCCTTGCCCGAAATAAGCAAATAGAAAATAACAAAACTGGCAATCACTTTGACTGAGCTCTAGCCACCACACTTAAAACTCATTTAAAATCACCACCAGTGTCTCAGAGCAACAAGCTGTGCATATGACCCTGCTTGCTGCGCAACTGTCTGGGGTTCCCCCCTGGGATGCCGCCTGCAACTGGGGTACCACTGAGCCACCTGACCTACCAGCCTGGGCTCCCACTCACTCCGCAATGCTGTGACAAGCTGCAGACATGCTCCTGGTCTCACACTTTTGTCAGCCCACAGATAGGGACATACCCAGCTCTAATAACATGCAGACAGGCTTTCTGACCAGCCCCAGCATCAGAAGGCTACTCAGCTAGAGCACTTACCAGCTTCCCATGTGCTGGTAAGTGCCCTAGCTGAGTAATCTAATATACGAAAGAGATTGGATACGAGTAGCAAATTCTCACCCTAAATGATGATTTAAGCTATCTGCAGAGATTCCTAAAAAGCAAGCTGCACTTGCTTGCAGCTTAAAACCCCAGGTACTCCTTTCACAGGCTAGAAATCTCTCTAGCCTGGGTTCAGCCCTTCCCTCCGTTCAGTCCTTCCTCAGGTATTTTCAGGAGTTTCCTTGGGTGA